CACCTACCAGGGATGTGCCCACAACCAATGTACATGCCCTTGACCGGAATTGAACCTGGGACCTTTCAGTCCGCAGACCGATGCTCTACCACTGAGCCAAACCGGTTTTGGCGCTTTATATTGTACTTTCAATATTAGAAATTCAGGTTTGAAAAACTGGTAATTGTTTCATTTATTGGAATTTATCTTTCCTTGCCTTTCTCATGCTGAGTAGTTGCAGAGACAGCATTAATCATTCAAATGTATAGGTAATTTATTTTTTGCTTGTCATTCTGGTCTTTTTAAAAGTATAAATAACATTTAATGAGGGTGAGCCTTTACTTCGTGTTTTGCTGTCTTGCTTGCCTCTGTTCCCATCCTTATTTATCCATTTGTTGCAATTTTCTAGCAGGCCTCAGTAGAACTATTTAGAGGTTTGCTTCTAAAGTTTTTGAGATACTCTTTCTGATTTGATCCACAATATTCCAGCTACTGAGATATCTATTCTCTGCAAATATTTGTTCTGTGTTAGTGCACAGTGCCTTTGACTACTGTTGTTAGTTGCTTTAAATTGCAAGACCTCATTGGTGAATGCTGCTTTCCTTTCCACCAGAAAGAAGCTTCAAGACAATACTGTACGATCTGGCTAAGAGATCTATTGTATAACCAGTTCCACCTTCTTATATGAGCAAACTTTGCTGTGTTTGCCCGTTTGTTTTTGTTTTCAGTCATATGGTAGATACTTTAAATGTAACTTCTTAGGGGTGCTTGCCAGCCATTCTCTTTGAATAGCTGGTTGTTGAGATTTGTTTGCTTCAGTGTTTATATAAGTTTGATGGTTTTCAGCTTTTAAGGGTCAGATGATCAGATTATTAACAAATTCTACTTCATACCTCTCGAAATGACAAACTGGCTTTAACTACTCTCCAGACTAACATGAAATCGTCTTCCAATGTGATTGCCTATCTCAGGAAGTGTGAATAATAAATTTCTAAGTGACCAGTTTAGGGAAATTTCTCCTATGACACTCATATGCCATGTTGTAGAAAATATACTTGCAAGGCAATCAGAAGGAGAATCATGAAAAATAATAAAGTTTTTAACTTGATCATATTTTCAGTCATTAAAAGGGGCTGCTTAGAGAGCTACTTAAGTGTATAATGAAGATTAGGAACATTTCCAAACTACTTCATCGTTTGATGGATGCACGTTAAAGAATATAAAAAGATGTGCCCCAGGGTGGAGCAAAAGTAGGTTTACAGTTGTATGTGGAAGAGTTTAATCTTGTATTATTATTTATTAATTGTTGTATTATTTTCCATATGAACAACATATGTCCCTGTGTCCCCCCCACACACACACACACATACACACACTGTATTGTAGTTCACCTCAAGGAAATAGTATCAAGCAAGTGTGATTATGGGGGGGGGAGACATTTTTTACTGTATACTTTTGTACATTTAAAATTTTTGATTCAGGTATAAAGGTTCATATGGAGAATGACATTTTAGAAAGTACCTTCATTCATTATCATTATTCGATACAAAGGCAAGAATACTACTATGGCATACTTCCTATTCCTTATGCTAGTATCTGCCTCTATGGTCCTATGTTTACACTTACGTTTATTTATATGGAGACTGAGAAAGATTAAACAAAAATATTTTTGTTAACAAGCAAAGAAGTAATAAAAATTATATTTCACTTCTTATTAAAAATAAAATATACAGCCTTAGCCAGTTTGCTCAATGGTTAGAGCATCGGCCTTCAGCCTGAAGGGTCACGGGTTCAATTCCAGTTAAGGACACATACCTCAGTTGTAGGCTGGATCCTCAGCCCTGGTCAGGGTGTGTGCAGGATGCAGCCAGTCAATGTGTCTCTTTTGCATCAGTGTTTCCCTTTCTGTCTCTCCTCCTCCTTTCCATTCTTTCTCTAAAAAGGTCAATGGAAAAAATATACTCAGGTGAGGATTAGCAAAAAAATAAATAAAATGTACAAAAGGATTTCAAAATGGCCTACTTATAATATCAAAGTGGAACATTTTCATACTATATTTATTTCACTGCTTTTAATATAGTAAAATCATTCTTCCATTCCAAAATTATAAGGGAGCTAAATAACCAATGATTGAGTTTATAGGGGTGAAAAATAATTATTTAATTAATTATATAAAATTATACAAATTATTGACATAATATTCTCTGTGTACTAAAGAAGTATAAAAGAAGATTCAATAGTTAATCTAGTTAATCTAACAATGCGTGCTATGAAAATTAAATGAACTTGCCTTCAAGAGAAAACTATTATACATGTTAGCCTATTTAAAGTCACCTTTTTGGGACCCTTTAAAGAAACTTATGCTTTCATAAGTATTGACTTTAAAGGTTGAAAAGATTAGAACTACTGTTCTATATTGCTGGGCATGTACACAAATATTATATATATATGCATAATTACCTTGTAAATACTTAATGCATTCCCAGAAAAACACTGACTTTTTAAAAAACATTCTAAATTTAACATTTCAAAAAGCTGTGATAATTTGTCTTGTGATATAAATTATTTGTACTTCATATTCAATATTTTTATAATTTCTGTTCCAGTGAGGAATAACATTGAATAACTATCATTTATGATATAAAAATCTGAGCCAAACTCTGAATTTAATTGACAAAAAAAACTGCCATAAAAGCTATGGGAGAAAAAAAAGTTTCAATGACAATTATACACTCCACAAAATCATCTTAACTTTTACCTTTGTTTATAAATTAACTTGGCATAAGTCTTCTTTGTTGATGCTCTTATAAACAGTGAGAAAATAAAATATTGTATTGAAGTTGAAAATGTTTTCATTAATTTAGGCAAAGTCATAATTCTAAAATTAGAATTATTTTTAATTATTTATAATTTAGAAGTTGTTAACCAAATAACTTATACGTATATATCCATAACTCATGGAAAAGACAGTATTGTGAAGGCCTGGGAGGGGGGTATAGGATGGAGGGGTCAATGTGTAAAAAAGGGGACATATGTATTATGTTCAACAATAAATATAAATTAAAATAAAAATAATAAATAAATAAATTGTTAAAAGTTGTTACCAGCTGAGAAAAAAAAACACACCTTATAATGATTTTCTAGTTATCAGTATTTTGGCTAATAGCATGGAGGGGCTTTGTATTCTTCCCATCAGCAATTCCTCCCACAGCTTTGCCTCAAAATCCAGGCCACTAATTCTGTTTCAGGGTTGAAGGACTTTGTCACATGCAGCTGGGAAGTCAAGAACTGAGGACATCAAATAACTATACTAGTAGTCTTTTAGATATAGTAAAAATGGTGTGTGTTTTGTGGTAGTTGGCACAATAGGACATATTAGTAATTGTACGTTTTCCCATTGTTTCATGGGGTAGTGTATATTTTGTAACCTTACAGAATATTTAGTCATAATTAATTTCTATATCCTTTATTTTACAGTAATTTTAGATGAATTCAATCAGTTTAAATAGCCTTCTTTTTAAGTGAAATTTTATTCTGATACTCTTCATAACTGATATTATTATAACTTTTGGTCTAATAGAAATAATGCCTCTATTCCAACATAGATTTCAAGTATTAATTTAATAGTGTATTCACAATCCTTTACTCCCGTTATAAAAAGAACTTTGCTTACATCATTTATTATATACAATATTTTATCAATGCGCTTTTTACTGATGTTGAATACTGGGTGATAATAACAGCACTGAGAATTTAATGTGGACTCATAAAGAACACTTAGATTCTAAGTCAGTCTCTAAAAATTAGTATTTTAGATTGGACCTGGGATATTAATGTAAATTAATAGATTAAAGAATTAATCAACTGAAATGAATATTTCTTCATTTTTTAGCACTTGAATTTTTTAGCACTTGAAAGCCGTAATCTTAATATGATACATATATGCTGTAATAACGAGTAGTTTTCAATATTCACATGTTATTTAGCAAAGAGAATGAAAATGAACTCTTCCATTGATGGGCTCCTCTACCCCTTAAAAAACAGTATTAGGAAAAATTGACAGAGTTTTGCTACAATTGCTGTATGTATTTTTTCCTAAAATTTCTGTGTATGTGTATATGTGTAAACATCATGTTTGATCATAAAGTTCTGGGTGGGAAAAACTTGCTTGTGTTATGATCAGTTATATGATCATAATCACCATGAATCCATTCCTCTCATGTGTTAGTCTGCCATGTTTAATTTCATTAAATCTTTGTTTCAGAGTTTGCATGTGGTGCTCACTTTAGTAGCCACTACCTCTTGACATTTTAAATGATACTTTATGATCTTTTCTACTGTATTATACTATAAAATTTCAGCACTACACTCTGAAATTTTATACTAAAATGTGTGGTGTTGGATGAGATAATTATTATGATTGTCATTAGTGTCTTGATTCCAATATAATATTTGACTTTTTTGGTCTTGATGAAAGGCTTCTATCTATATCATCCTGATACCTATTCTAATATGAGGAAATACATTTGAATTTTATTTTACATTAACTTCTTTCTTTTTATTAGTTTTAAATATCAATTTTTTTTCTGCCACCTGCCAGATCTGACCTTTCAATTATCAGGTGTTGGCAATTTGGCACTTGTATGATATTGCTATTAGGATCTTGATTGTCTTAAAATAATAATTATTAGAATAAAGAAATTCCCATTATACATAATAAAAATGAGGCCAATACTATGCAAATGCTGTAGTTTACATTAAAACATTACCTTATGCTAATTATGTCTAACTACTTAAAGCATTATAAAAATAATAAAAATTATTTTTCACAGGATGTGTAGATAGATCAAACATAAATGCATTGTAAGGTTACTTGAACTCTGTGTCTGTTTTTTTATGGCCATCATATTATTAATATTTTTCATAACAGTTTGCATGACTCTGATTAGTACATATGCTTAAGTGCAAGATTTGAATGAACTCTAAATGAACTCTCTGGTGGGTGGTGAATTTCTTTCTAGAAACGGAACCAGTCAAGTTCCTCTGAGTGCAGCACAGTTGATAACCCGCTGCTAGAAGAAGAGGCGGAGGCAGAGTCTGTGAAATCAGATGAGCCAGAGGCCTGTTTTACAGATGGTAAGAGGAAAATCGAGACCTTGGTTAGCATTCACTTATTAGTGTTTGGAGTTTTGTTTCAATCCTAAATTGGTCCGCGGTTATTTACTATTGAATAGAAGGCAGACTACTCAATTCCATGTGGAGTCAGTCATGGCCCTGTGACCAAGGACAAGTCATTGGAGCTTTCTGAGCTGCTTTTTGCATCCTTATGATACCCTACTAACAATAATTCACAGTGACAGTGTGTTATACTGTGAAACACTCTAGTTACACTGGATGTTCATACTTTTAAATTTTAGATTCTTAATTCATGTTCCCGGCTCCATGGAACCGCTAGAATACAATTTAATGGGATGGATGGTACTATTGTTCTGGATGGGGAAATGTTACCAAAAGCTAAAGCTATCCACCAACTCGCTGTAAACCTCTTGATGCTGCTAACCACAGTCTGTTTTCGTATTTTTTCTTCCTTTTTTTTCAAAGACCACACTATACCTGTGTTCTTTTATATTTCTGAGAGTTCTGAGGTTCTTCCCTCATTTTTTTTTAATGACTGGTTTAATGAACATCCCTTAAATAATAATGTTTTCAGATTTTGTTGCTTTGTTACCTTGTTTTTCTCTAGCCCTGTGGGTTTCATCCATATTTATAGCTTGAACAGCCATTTCTGTGTTGTGGGCTCTTCTTTCATTATTTTTATGCCTACCCTCACTCTTGAATTCTGATCCGCCTACACCTGCCCATTATCTGAATTCTGATCTGCCTACACCTGCCCATTAAACATCTAAGGCTTAATACATTTAAACAAACGTTAGTGGGTTCTCCACATATAATCTACTACTTCCTTCCATCTTCGTGTCATTTAGCGACACCTGGGTCTATCCTGCCTCTCAAGCAAAAGACTTTTAGGCAGTCCTGATCTCTTTCTTTTTGGCCACACATTGATAGGAAATTCTGAGGACAGTGCCAAGTTCTCTGGTGTATTCTGACCGATGCACACTAAAATTTGAGAACCATTGGTCTATAAGGTAAAACCTGAAGTCCTTAACTTGGCATGGAAAGCCCTTTTTGGCCTCCATCTATTCTTTTCTAACAGTATCTCCATTCAACCCTTTTCATTTTTCTGCCTAACTGAATTTCTTACTATTTCCTCCAATTTTTGAGGGATTTTATCCCAACTAGTAAATTTGAGCTTGACCTAGAAAAGTATGTGGGGTTTTCTAAGTAGGTATTGTGTCATCTAAATAAACACAGAAACTTAGAGTAGGATTGCAGTAGAGCACAAAATTTGAAGCCTAATAAACATGAGTTCTAATTGGCCTACTGCTAACTCCCTGTGAAAACAGGAGCACATGTTAAAATTATTTATACCTCAGATACCTCATCTGTAAAGTGGGTATAACAGCTATATCCACATCATAGGAATGTTAAGGGAATTACATGAGATAACACCTAAATTAATTAGCCTAGTATCTATCTTCCTTCTCCTTTCCTTTTTGTTTTTAAAGTATTTTGTTAACAATTATATATAGAAGCTATGATGGCATTGATGCTAATGGGCTTACCATCAGCAACAGTATTTCTTAAAAAAAAATTATTGACTTGCTTTCATTCTCTAAGACTTTTGCAAATAGTCCCCTATAAGACCCAGGCAATAAACAAAATAAAGGTAACTATAAACTACTATGGGTGCATGAATTTTCTTTGAATACAAGCCAAATCTCATATTATGGGAAAAGCAAATGATGGCATCCAATTAATATAAATTTTGTATTTTTGTTGTATCATAAGTAAAACACTTGTAAAGAAAATATGAAGGAATAATATTTTAGACAGAGTAATGAAGGCACATGCCCTGAGAAAAGAATATGCATGCCATTTGAGGAAATCAGGGGCTAGTATTAATAAAACAAATGGAGAGATGAGAAGAATGGAAAAGTTGAAGTCAGAGGCGTCGTAGAGGCCAGATCATAAGAGCTGAGAAGTACATTGTAAGCATCTCATTCCAAAGTCCCAAAACACGCCATCATGAGAGGGAATGAGTGGATAGCAAGGTAAGAAGTTGGACAACTTCTTGGATGTTCCTGCAGTGATGCAGATGAGAGACGGTGGGAGTTTACACTAGTGTGCTAGGATGGGCGGTGGTGTGAGTATGAGTGTCTGACAATATTTTGAAGTTAAAGCTAAAGGAATTTGCTGAGATGTAGGATGTAGGGTGTGAAAGAGAACAATAATAAACAAGTCAAAGTTTGGGGCCTCAGAAACTGGAAATGAAGACTTCAAAATGAGTAGGCTTGTCAGGATGGGAATCAGGGACTTGTTCACTTAGGTTGGAAATGACTCTTAACCAGTTCATGATTGGTCTCAGGAGCTGAGCCAGAACCAGTGCCCATTTAGAGTAGCATTAGGCCTCCAGAGATTGTTGTTACCTGAAAGAGCAGAAAAACCAAAGAAGATGTGAGAGTTCAATCAGTGAAAATGAATACTAAATTTATTTTTTGTTCATTGTCTCACATCCATTGATCCTTTTTAACTTGATTACTTTTTCACAACTTGTTCCTCTTTTTCACCTTTCTTATTCTGTTTCATTAGTTCTCTAATTCAAGACTTCAGGCTCCTTCCTTATAGATCTGCTTCACACCATCCTTAATTCTACTTGTCTTGGCAAACTATTGTATAATTCTGAACCTGGCATGAATCTTTGATTTTGCTTGCTTTTATATTATACTTTTATTGGATTATACAGTTAGTAAATTGGACCAGCATGTGAGATAGAAACACACTAGTTCTTAAAATAATGTATTTCTTGTTAATTTGGTAGGAAGAACCAATTCAATTTCCCCAAAAAATGTTCTTTATCAACTCCCTATAAAATAACACATAACTACTTCTAACTTTAACACAACACAGCAACCAATTTCTTTGTACCTTATATTAGAAAGAAAGGATTTAGACATTTTTTTAAAGGTGGTGAAATAATGATTTATTTTCCTAATGAAATTTTTACATTAATTATATGGATCATGTTACTATGTTTTTATTAATGGGTAATGTCTTGGAAGAGGTCAATGGTTTCTTTATCATTTGAGAGCATTGTTTTAACATGATGAAACCAAGTTTAAACTTTCTGTAATGGATCACAAGAGCAAATTAATGAAACTACCCAAAAGAAATATTGTCTACCCACAGGGATCTATTAAAATGTTTGAGAGGTTCTCTGTTATGTTTACATTAAAATAATAGTCCTAAAAAAAGAAGGTGTGATAATGTTGCTAACCAGCTAGGTTGGAAATCTCTTGGGAAATGCCTTTGCATAAAAGCCAGGCAAGTAGTCAAGGACTCATGCCTCAAAATGAGAGAAACTCTCTGAGATGTGATAAATCCTGAGGGCAATATTTATGAAGCTTCATCCCTGATTTTTTTTTTTTTAAGTGCCTTACCTGTCTAATTAGAATGCATAGTTTATTTTCTTGCCTCAATCAAGAATAATATTTTTCTTCAACTTTAAGACTGCCAAAATAAATCTCAGTTGGTAAGATCTTCTTAACCAAAAGGTTAAGAAGATCCTGTTCTGAATGAGAATTTTGTTTTTAAGTTTAAGATAATTTCTAAACTCTCAAGCATTAAGTTAATATAAAAACAAATTCCATTCTAAGGTTTTTCTGATCTTTCTGATGTTTTCTTGTGCCCTGAAAAAGATCTACTATTTTTCTACCTAATTTCATAAAATATTTTCTTTTTACTAATGTATTTGAGATATAAGGTAATTATTTTAAATACAACAAAGATAAATTATTTCAGATCTGAGATCATGTTAACTATAATTAACATTGGATAAGTGAAGTCAGGAGTATATTTTTCATTCCCTGTTGTTTTTTTAAATCCAATTTTTGTGGGTAAATTCTAGAATTCACAGAGATATATGACCTTTAGATCATGATTAATTCTTAGGTGATTTTAGAACTTTTTTGGAGGGACTGTGTCTTTTCAGTCAACTATGCACAGCATATTTAAACTATGTATAGGACTAGAGTAAGTATTGTAAGCAGAAAGGGCAAAAGGACAAAAAAAAAGATACAGGATTAGCCTTATTGGAATATAGAAACTTCTGGAGAGAAAGGGCAGAAACACATAAAATATACATAATGGCAAAAATACCAGAGACTTGGGGGGCGGGGGGAAACATTGCTTGCATTTCTATAAAGCTGGAAATTGAAGTGTGAGGGAGAGAGGGAGGGAGTGAGGAAGGGAGGGAAGGAGGGAGACAGGAAGGAAGGAAGGGAGAGAGGGAGGGAGGGAGGGAGGGAGGGAGGGAGGGAGGGAGGGAGGGAGGGAGGGAGGGAGGGAAGGAGGGAGGGAGGGAGGGAGATCAATGTGAAAGAGAAAAATCTATTGGTTGCCTTCTGTACAAGTCCCAACCAAGCCAGGATAGAATGCCCAACCCAGGTATGTGCTCTTCACCAGGAATGGAAGCTGTGACCCTTTGGCCCACGGGCCAATGCTCTAACCACTGAGAAAACTTGCCAGTGCTATACATTTTAATGTTTTATATTGGCTGCATTTAACAATGGGCTAGTAAAATATCCTAAAAATTTCACAATGTGTTATCAAGAGCTAGGATGAGCTGGGTCTCCTAAACCACTGAATTCTGCCCCTTCATATTGCCATTTCATAACATTCCAGACTTGACCCTTTTCTCTCCAAAATAACTATTTTTTTGGTAGGAGCTCAGAAAATGTCTTGATCTCAGATGACACAGGTATGCTATTGATTCCTACATATTCTTTTCTAGCTCAGACTTTTTGTCTGAGAGTAAAATTCATACCTTCAAATAGCTACAGAATACTTGGATGTAGAGATTTCCCTGGCATCTCACTCATTACCACCCAAATCCTGCTTCTGTACTCATCCTGGACTCCTCCTTTTATCTCACATCCACATCCAGTCAATCACCAAATCCTACAATCTCACCTGCCAAATATGTCTTGAATCTATTATTGTTATTCTTGCTGCCCTGAACCAGAATTCTAAATGTTTTTTTTTTGTTGTTTGTTTGTTTATTTGCTTGTTTTTTTGTTTTGGCTTGAGGTCTTTCCTCACCTCCACCCCTCTTGTTTCTCCTCTTCCAACTTACACTCCAAACAACTGTTGAAGACATCTATTTAAATTGCAGCCTGCCTTATCATTCTCTGCTTACAACCCTTCCCTGACTCCTCAATGTTTATAGGATATAGACCCAATTCTTTAAGGTGGGAGAGATGCTTTCTGGAATATGATGTAATTTCTCTAACCTCAGGTGGGCTCCTGTGTACACTTTGCTTTCATAACAGTTCTGAACTGCTTGGAATTTCTATGCATAACGCATTTGGCTGCCTCTTGGCCCAGATTTCCATGCAAACCCTTTTTGGCTAGTACTGATTCAGTTCAGGCTTCACCCCTTCTAGGAAGCCTCCTCTGATCTCTCCTCAATGAGCCAGGGTAGATGGACTTATTCCAGATATTCCAAAATAACCCCTGCATATCTGTCAGTTTAGTTGCTTATCAGGTTATAGTCATTTATTTATATACTAGAAACCCAGTACACAAAATTTGTGCACTTGGGAGGGGTCCCTCAACCCAGCCTGCACCCTCTCATAGTCCAGGAGTTCTCGGGGGATATCCAACTGATAGGATATCCCATAGGCAGAGGGCCCAAGCTGACAGTCGGACATCCTTAGCATTGCTGCAGAGGTGGGAGCCCGATTTCTGGCTGAGTGGCACTCCCTCTATGGGAGTGCACTGACCACCAGGGGGCAGCTCCTGCATTGAGTATCTGCCCCCTGGTGATCAGTGCGCATCATAGCGACTGGTCATCCCTCCATTCGGTTGATTTGCATATTAGCCTTTTATTATATAGGATCTGTCTGCCTAACCAAAACCAAAAATAAATTCCTCAAGGATAACAAACTCTGTACATAACTAAGTATATGGAAAATACTCAAGAAATATTTAATGGAGAAATGAATGAATAAACCTGAAACATTCTTTTAATATTTCTAAAATTTTTATAGCAGTATGTTGTACACCTAAGATCCCAATGTCAGATTTGTTTTCAACTTAGAGTACTTGAAACAGTTTCATCTACATCTTCTAATCAAGATCTATTTTTTTAAACTTGATTTTAGGACCTTCACTGATATTCTTAATATTATTTAGAGTGGTGTTTGTCAAAGATTTTTTATGGAAGAGGTAAAGCCACACCAGATTTCATACTAGATCTATATTAAGGAAACTATATCTTTCAGAAAATATGACCCTGAACTGTGCTCAGATTTTAGTTCATTTATTCATTCCTCAAATTCAGTTTTTATTGTGTATTAGGATTGGAAAAAAAATGTTTTAAACACTGTAAAAGAGATTAGTGAGAAGTCAGGGAAACACAGAAGACAAGAATATATCCTAAGTTAGAAATAACTGACAAGTATTAAGAAAACACCATGAGAATTAGGAGATGAGAGAAGGAGGCACCCAGTTTGAATACTTGTTTGAAGCTGCAGGCATGTGTTAGAAATTATTTGGTTGAGGGACTATCATAGGGACCTATTTGCATTAAGTCATGTATCTTAGCTATTTTAATGCATATCTTTCTCGCCAGGTTGCATACGGAGGTTCCCATGCTGTGACGTTAACATAGACTCAGGAAAAGGAAAAATCTGGTGGACTGTTAGGAAGACATGCTTTAGGATAGTTGAACACAACTGGTTTGAAAGCTTTATCGTTCTCATGATCCTGCTCAGCAGTGGGGCTCTGGTAAGTAATCTGACACCTAAAGCAATTAATGGATTGTCAGTACTCAATGAATTGGAAGATAAAAGTACCTTAGCAAGTAGTTTTACCCCAAAATAGATCCCTATGATTAGTACCAAGGATAGAATTTTAGTTCAGTTCAGTAAATATTCACTGAGCACTTCTACAGGCAGAACATTATTCTTGCTGCCCTAAATGCAAAAATGAATAAGACCCAGGCAAGATAAGGAACTTGGAGGGCAATTGGGGAAAAGAGGGGTGTAAGGGCTAAAAGTTTATAAGTGAAGAACATACCGATAAAAGCCCTGCTTGGGATTTCAGGAAAGTAGATGATGTTTTGCAAGATCTAGAAAGATTAGTAATAATTTTCCAGTGAGGGGAACATAGTACAATTGGAAGGAAGCATAAAACATCATCAGATATACAGGAAATTAAAAGTAGGCATACTTAGGAAGAGTTATGGGAGGAAGAGCAAATACAGAGATGGATGTGGTGGCTAGCGATACTGTGACAAAGATAGGCAGTGTCAGCTTATGAAGCATCCTGGTTATTACTGTAAGGGAAAATAAACTGCAGTTTTAGAGTGAGAATGGACACGTTTCTCAATCTTTTACATATACCAAGCACCTTCCGGGAGAGTTGAAGTGAATCTGGGAGTTAAGAGCTGACAATAACAGAGCTGAGCCTCTAGAAGCCTAGTTCCAGCTGGAGATACTACTGGAAACTCCACTCTACTCAAAGCAGAATTTGCAAGAACTTCATAAATTGCCTCATAGACAGTCTTCATGGGCCTGGGATTTGATTTTACTCTTACAGGAAGTTAACCTATTATTGTTTTGTGTGTGCTGGTGGAAGATGTGAGACTTTCGAGTCAGAGACAAAGGACTTGATTATTCGTGGCATAAAAAGGAGCATGAACTTCAACATGTTTGTGTTGTTTCCCCTTGTCCCCAAATCCCATGGGGCCATAGCATGAAGCTAAGTGTAAATGGCACACACAGTGGGTTAGCATTGTAGCTGGTGAGCACTGAGCTTAGGGAACCCATCCTCTTATAGCAAACAGAAAGCAACCTGGCTCTTTATCCCCGAGGGTGACACCATCTCATCTCTCAAGGTTGCTTGTTGTAGAAATAACCCTGAGAAATGGCTGGGGTCAAGAGTAATTCAGCCTTGCATTCTTGTCACACCCAACAAGAACACGCAGGGTTGTTTAGGGCTCACAGTAAATTGCCTCTCCTAGCAATTCTCCTCTCTCAAAAACAGGAGATGAATACGAAATTGCTACTTGATTTATCAGGTGGAATGCAAGTAGGAGTCTTGACAGTGTCTACATTATCTTATATTCCTATTGACTAAGGAAGTTCATCCCATTCTGAGTCACATATATAACTAGGAGATTAGAAAAAATTATAGAAAAGCTTAGAGCAGTGCCTTGTTCAAAATGTCTACAAAGGAAGATACCATTTTGGGGGAAGGGACACTCTCAAAACTAAAATTCAAATGAGTCACAGGAAGAAGAAAAGGGGGAAATATTTCAAGAAGCTGGTATTTATGCTCAGGGAATTTGCCAATTGAGCTAGATTTTAAAAACACTTATCTATAAAACAAATAAAAAGTAGCTCTAATTTAGTACATATTTATTGTATGTCAAGACCTTTAAATAGTTTTTCCCCCCCTTTAATTTTCAAATAATCCTGTGAGATTATGGTATTTTGCTTGTTTTAGCAATCAGGAAGCTAGGTACAGAGTATTAACAGTTGTGTGATGTCTCAGAGCTAGTAAATGATAGAGCCGTAACTTAACCAAGGTCAAAGTCAAAGCCACTGAACCTTTTTACTATGCTGTGGCTCCTCAGGAAGCAGGGTGCACACCACGTAGGCGAGTAAGTGGTAACTGAAGTGAGTAATAGTCAAGCCCACACCCAAGTCAGATAGAGCTCATACAATGCCCTGCTTGTCCCTTTGCTCTCACATCCACAAAATTAGTCCTAGAAGCGAGGAGCCCCATTTCAGGCTCTGGGATGTGCCACAGCAAGGTGTGTTCAGGCAGAGTATTTGGCCTTCAGCATCTGCTGGTCCTGCTCTGCACCCAGATCCAGGAACAGCACTCTTATTCATGACCACGCCCCTTCTCTGTCTTCCGCCTTAGTTTCTGTCTGAGTAGCTGGCCTGACTCCTCCAGAACTTGGAGAAGGGAGGCAGAAAAGTCCCCATGGCTGCAAGTCTCCCCTGCACTTTAATTCTACTGACTTTCAGAACCTCTGCCAGTACTAGAACCTTCTTTTAGCATCTTAGTAATCTGACCATTCTCTTCGTCCCAACTTCTCTGTTTCCTTCAAGATTCATACCAACATTTTGCACAGAGTGTTTGGGATCCTTTTTAGGGTATTGATAGGTGAATTTGGAATAAGAAGAATAAGAATGGCCCAAGGCCAGACTTATGGACAGAAAGTATTATGTTAATCGCTAAGGATGCAGGCCCTTTTCCTTTAATTTTCTTCACCATGGTAAGTATTGTTTAAACTTGAAAGAGATAATTCTTACTATAGACCTGTGTAAGTCAGCAATCATTTTCAATGTCTTCAGTGAGTTCAACACTTTGAGTTTATTCAAATTATTTCCCAAGGAACTTGTGGCTGTGGCTTGTAACTGGGAGAGTGTTATGGGTGCCACATTCATGGAATGAATAGAAGAGTGATTCGTAGAACCGAAGCTTTTAATGAATGATAAAATATTGTGCAAAATTTAAAGAATAAATCAACCTCTAATTTCTATAGTCATACTAAGCCCCTGCACATGTTCACTTAGCAAGCCCTTCTGCATGTCCTGCTGTGTTCCTGGGGATGCACATGCATGTAAGACCTAAAGGAGAGGCTCCAAGTCCTACTGGTATAGGAGATTGCAGGGAGAGAAAGGTATAGCAGAGTGGCTGGTCCTGGAAACATGTCTTAAAGTATTATGTCTTTCCAATTTGAAGAGAGATAAAAGAGGGATCAGATAAAGTGGAAGTCCCTGCAAGTGCCAGAGATCTGGCTCTTTTCAGAATATTCTAAATAATTTCATTCCTTTGTGCCTTCTTTCTCTTCTCATGGCCTCTGGGACCAGTGGCTTGCACTGGTGGTGAGAAGTCTGGAATTGGTGTCACACAGTAGCTGTAAAACCAGAAGAAACTCAGTTGGCTCATAATAGTATGATATTTCAGTGGTTTTCTTCATTAAATTTTTATTTCTTGTTTTTATTACAAATAATAAGCTTTCAGTTGGAAATGAATCAAAATTTGGATATTATTTCCACAGGCTTTTGAAGATATATATATTGAAAAGAAAAAGACCATAAAGATTATCCTGGACTATGCTGACAAGATATTCACTTACGTCTTCATTCTGGAAATGCTTCTAAAATGGGTAGCATATGGTTATAAAACGTATTTCACCAATGCCTGGTGTTGGTTGGATTTCCTAATTGTTGATGTAGGTACTTTGAGTGAAATTTCAAAGATTTTGTGTGATGATTCAATGTTCTGCTAAGACTTCACTAATGTTGTATATTATAATTTTAGTTGGCTTTTTATATTTTCTGTCTATAGGTTTATGCTTTTAGAAATATTAATGTAGCCAGTAGATGTCTGTAAGGAAAAGAGAAACTTTTCAACAAATGTAAATTTTTTTCTCTACCATTTTAACATAATTTACTCTTGCATGTAAATTATTTTTTGCAATCAGAGAAGATGTGACTTGGATATCATTCCTGTTGGGATTATAAATAGAATGAACAAATGGAAAGTAAGGGGTGGGAATGAAAAGGGCAGAAACACAGGTTAAAAGATAAAATATTGATTTTTTTTTTTTTACTACATAAAGTTGGAAAATAAGGTGATGAGTACATCAAGTTGTCTTTGTTAGCTAAAAGTTATATAAAAATGGTAGTTAGTACTAAAGCAAATAACTCCATGTTAGGGAGAAAGGTGGGTGTGGAATTTCAAAGTATATAATTAATGACAATGACAGGGAAAATCAAAATTAATCACAGTTCTTATCCCTATTCAAACACCCAACTTACAATCATCTCCAGAGTGGTGCTGGAGAATAGAAATTGGTGTTAATTACAAATAACGAATTCAGAGAACTACTGAGTATTTGGATGAAAGAGAATGCTTCAGTTTATGTATTATTTTTAACAAAGCAAAAATATTTTTTAGTCATCATCTTGAAATAGTCAGGAAACAGATCCTAAAACAGCTTGTGAGATAAAGGCATCTCACATAGAAATTAAATGGTACAACTTCATTATTGTCAAGTCATTCTTATTTAGTATACTCTATTTTAGTTTATATTTTATTGATATAACTTAATTATATAAAATAATCTAATTGTTATATGATATTGTATATTATTTTAAAAGGCTTCCTTAAAGTAAGCTATGACCTCAAGCTTTTAATTTTATTTTTCTCAGTATGAATTGTGTTCTTCATTCTTTTACTAATTCTTCTAGATTTTCCAAAATCTAGTCTTTGTTGTTAGGAAGAAAGATTCTATAAGTCATAATTTTTAGAGAATTCTTTTCCTCATCTGATTTCTGGAATTAGAAGACAACAAGCAATTTTTCAGAGTACCAACAAGTACTCTAACATTTAACCAAGAGTTTGCATTTTGTAACCTTTCAGAAAGGGTAACTCAATACAACATAATTCATAGATATCAAAATTATATGTAAGCATGACTATTAACAACAAAATCTTACTGCAAAATTATGCCAAAACTAATCATATCTACTCTAAAGTTCAGTTTCTCAACTGTTATTTAAACCTCAGTAAACTATTTCCTTTCTAACAGTTCGATATATAAAATATTAAAAGTAATAACAATTATTTATTTTCTATATATGTGATGTGCAAAAATTTTTCCCAAAGTATGCATAATACCTCCTATGTCCTCTTGGGCTTCCGATGGATTTTTCATGTCTTATATTAATGATTTCATATTGCTTGTTTTTATATTTACCATTTATGTATATGTTACTTAGTTACTGCCTAGGATGCTTTTGTAATATAATAGTTTTAAAGAAAGGCTAACCAAAATAAGAAAAAAGTGATATAAGAAAATTTCTTATATCACTCTTAGCATGTAACTATGATGGTTCTTTTAAAAGTTATTTTAAAATATTTAAAGATATTCAAAAAACCTTTAAAATGTTACTATAAATATGTTACTTTTATCATTACACTTAGGAAATAAAAGTTTACAAGTAGAGTTGAATTTCTTTTAAACTAAGAAAGAAATATAGCTATAATAACAAATTATTTTTTGTGTTTGAAAATATGAAGTGGTGATTTATGAAGGGTTATATAATAAGCAGAACTTGGGGAGATATGTAGCTTCGATTTGAAATATTATTTAATATTTTGAAAAAACAGTAAATGGACGTCTGTGAAAAAAAAGAGCCACATGCTAACCTGACAAGCTCAGGGGAGGCCTATGTGGCAGTCTTGCCAACTTAGAGACCTAAAATAACCACAAAAGATGTTTTGAAAATTAAACATCTAACTACAAACATGTTATAGTGGGTAGTAATGTTCTAGGCCGATATTTTCCCAGACAGAGATCAACTTAGATCCTTTTACTGAGCCCGTTTGCCTTTTTGCCTCTAAGATAACATATCTGTGAGATGCCTGGGTAACTTGTAACTTCCCTTTTTCTGGAGCCTCTGGGGAACAACCAAATGTGGTGGGCGCCAGGACAGATGCCTCAAATTCCTTCTTTATCATGTTAATTGTTCCTGCACTCACCTGAGTACACCTCCATCATTTTACTTTTTATCCAATCCCAGGAGTTTCCCACCGCTTTGCTTTCTCCCGCCTCCTTACTCCATCACCAATGAATTTCATGTAACCCACCTATGTCCCTCCTTTGATTTTGGTGTATAAATAGAGAAATGTAACCTGCCATTCGTCCCTTGAGGTTCAGCTTCCCGGCATACGTATGTCAAAAGTTTGGCTAAAATAAACTCACAAAAATTCTTTAAAAAAAACAACAGTAAATGTATATATGGATGTATATAACATACTGACACATATATTTGATATGAAATGTTTCTATTCTGTAACATGGAAGCAAAGTTACACACAATATTCTTGCTGGTAGAGATGAAAATCTAGGAATGTAGATTTGAGGGAGGACTGATTTTTTTTTAATTTCTCAAAGATTAAGCAATTTATCTAATCTACTTTTTCTCTAAGTGTGATTCTTGAACCAACATCATTGGCACTTATATTGTAGGTGGTAATTATTAGGGATACGATTCTCAGAACCCACCTAATATCTACTGAATCAGACACTCTCGTGTTGGGACCCAGCATTCTCTTGTAACGAGCCCTCCAGATGATTCTGGTGCATATTCAGGCTTCTGAACCACTGATCTGATTTATATTCAGAGAATGGACTTATTTGATTTCTGCAGGCTTTTTGATTATTTGAAACTTAATTGAACATTATTTATTAGTATGAGTGTGTGTGTGTGTGTTAGTGCATGCACAAATTTTATGCACCAGGCCTATATATATGCATAGTTAGGTAAATGGATATATAAACTAGAGGCCTGGTGCATGAAATTCATGCATGGGCAGAGTTCCTAGACCTGGCAGATGATCAGGGCCAATCTGTGAGACTAGCGGCAGGGGTGATTGGGAGAGTTGTGGGGAGGGCTTCTGCTGGCACCTGCCTTGGCTGTCATGGAGACTGCGGGCTGGGGGCAGCTCCTGCACTGAGCATCTACCCCCAAGTGGTCAGTGCACATCGTAGCGACTGGTCAACTGTTCCCCGGTAGTCAGTGCACGTCATAGCGAGCAGTTGAGTGGCCTTACCATATCATTTGCATATTACGCTTTAATTGATGGAAGGATGACCAGACAACCAGACACTTAGCATATTAGGCTTTCATTATATAGGATATATATATATATTCTCAGTTACAGACTATACTGTAATTTTCTCAATAACTTTCCGCTATTATATTCAATATAAAGCCCCATTGTGAAATCATGTTTCTTTACATTACTTTTATATAAGGTTTATATTAAAGTTTAGATATAGTTAATTTCATATGCTCTTATAACTTAGCTTTTGTTATGTCCTGGGTTTTATTTCAATTGAAATTTTGATAGCTTCTCTCATTAAATGTTCAGAATATGCAAAAGTACATTTCCATTGACTATCAAAGTGTGAAAGGTACATATGATTCTTTTCAGATATAGGAAATAGCTCACTTTCCTTCTATTCTTTCATTTTATTTTGGTTAACTTTTTCCATCTATTTCCTTGCAAAGCATTCTTCTTACCCATTGTTTAAGGCAATGACTAGTTAAGTTGATATATTAAATCATATTGTTCTTGTTGAGCTGCTCTTAGTGATCGTTCATGATTATTGCATTGAAATAATTAATTTAAAAAATGTTTTGCAGGTTTCTTTGGTTACTTTAGTTGCAAACACTCTTGACTACTCAGACCTCACCCCCATTAAATCCCTTCGGACACTTAGAGCTCTAAGACCTCTAAGAGCTCTATCGAGATTTGAAGGAATGAGGGTAAGAAAATACTAAAATTTCCAACATAATTTGTTTATACTTTTATAATAGTCTTATTTTTAAAATGGAATATAAAATGTGAAAATTAATATGTAGAAGTTATAGACTGTTTCTATTTACACATGCATATATAAATGTGTATATATATGAACTGTTTATGTATATAAGTGTGTGTGCATGTGCACATTCAGTTGTTCAGTGCATATGTTTAACAAAGAGTAAATCAAATATTGTTAGGAGGTGATGATCCAAATAAGTAGCTTTTCCCTTCTAAAATAGAAATAGATCTTCTCTATGCTAGAAGATCAAGTGAAGGGGACACTTAGTCCTGAAAACATCTCTCATATACAAGTCATCAAGGACTTACCTGTATCAGGTGATCAAATAATATTTTGTAAAAAACTACCTTGGGTATGGGGGCATAAGGAAAAAAAGGAAGTGAAGTAGCATCTGCCATCACTTTTAATTTCATCCTTAAAAATAAACATTTCAATAAAAGTGTAATTGTCTCCAAACTATATCTGAGAAAACTAAAGCTCTGAGAGTTTCCATAATTTGCATGAGGCTACATAGCACCAGAAAAGAGATTCATTTTGCAAAGACAAGCAAGGTGAGATGAATGATGACTACCAGCAACCTAGTTTTAAGGGCTGTGGTAAATCAGCAATTTTTTCCTAAAATACATGGAGAACAATGAGCTTAGTTTTTCTAATGAGTCTATATCCATATCTGTTCTTGCTCTTCTCATTCTCTTCTTTTCTAGATTTATACCTGTTTTCTCAAGCCTCTGTTCTCTTGGCCAGGAATCAACCCTCATTCATCAATGTAGCAGATAAACATCTACCCATTCTTAAGCCTCAATTAAAAATGTGCCCTGTCTGTCCACCACCAGGCATAATTAGGCATCCTTTCTCTATGTTCAGATACGTATAATCCTCACTATATTGTACTTACTTGTTTGTAATACTTCCTCTCTTCCTATAGTCTCAGAGCAATTTAACATGCAAATCAGTCTAGCTCACTGCTTCCCTGAATGTGCTCTACTGACAACATCATCACAACTGATTAGAAATACAAACTCCCAGGATCCACCCCAGACTCAACTGAATCAGAAACTCTGGGGTGGGGCTCAGAAATCTGAAGCCTCCAGTGACTATTAACAATCGTTTAGCAAATCTTCGTTATTATTCCTGCTGCACTATGACTGTGACCTCTCCTGCTTAGAGTCCAGTGTATGATGAATCCATGTATATGAGAGGTCCTGATTAAGAATTTTTTCCCATATGAGAATTGGAAAATTACAAGTTACATTGTATACAGAAAGATGGTGTTGAATTTGTTGACACGACCTCCCCTTTTTGAGCCTTAGCAGAAAGCTACAATTTATCCAGAACTTAAGATGAATCCCTGAACTTGAGCAGACGTTATACTGAGTTTTATGAACAAATAGTATACTTTCCCCTACAAACTTACTTCCCTCAGTGATTAAGCCAGCCCATTATTTTACCCTCTTTGCTTTGGTCTTTATCTAAATAATAAAAGCATAATATGCTAATTAGACCAGACGCCCTTCCAGATGTCCTCCTGGATGACCTTCCAGACAAAGTCGCAGGGGCAGGGGCCAAGGCAAAGGCAGCTGTTGAGGCAGCAGGGGCCAAGCCCCTTGCACAAGTTTCATGCATCGGGCCTCTAGTCTACAATACAAGTGAATAGTTTAATATATATGGGAGGGAAAACATGTCTATTTAGTCACATGTATTAGCCATGTTAAGTAGGAGATGTTTCTTCATGCTGTGTGTCATTTTGAAAAATAAAGTAAATGATGATTTGCAGCATTTTGTAATCTTGAGGTTTGACTGAGTAGAAACAATGGCCACGGAGAGACAGATAGGGGAACAGTATTTCTTCTTTGACATCTGCCATGAAATAGTAATCATATAGTGCCACAGAAACATAAAGGTGAGTGTAGCTTCCCAAGGACATCTGGGAAAGCTTTGCCAGGAGGTGGCATTGGGCCATGATTGAGAGAAGGGGCCCCAAGACACCACAGGCAGGTCGGCATTCCAGGCAGAGATGCTACATGGCAGAGAAGCACCAAGTCCAGTGTGCAAGGCACATGTGAGCGACGTCTGGAAGGATCAGTGTGCCTCGCGGATAAGCACAGAGGGGAGGTTAGCAAAAAATGAGGATGAAAAAGGAGGCTAGAAAAAAGAGTTGGCCACTTTGAACTTCATTCTCTCATCCTGTTCCTCCTAACTTTTGTATACTGTATGAATCTCATGAAAGTATGAATCATCTCTCCATAAAGAAAGCAACCCCATAATGTTTTTAATAGGATTTCATGCCCACATAGAAACTCTGGGCCCATCGGCCCCAGGACAATAACTATTGTTCTGGACCAGGGGTCATCATACCGAAGCCCACAGTTGTTATTGGATTTCAGTCATGCTCATTTGTGTATACTCTTATTACAGTGGCAGAATTGAATAGTTGCAATAAAGATAGTATCACCCTCAAAGCCTAAAAATGTTTAAGAAAATGTTTGCTAACCCCTGCTCTAGACATTCTCAAAGGTAATCAGAGACCCTTGATGTTTCACCTGTTAAAGATGACTTAAAAGCTTGCTCAATCTGTTGGGGGGGAAAAATGGGAGCACAATGCTTAACAAGTCTTTTACACATTTGCACCCAAATTTGGACTAGAGCTGAAGTATCAGAAGACAGGTAGGTTTGAAGGACTGGGTAAATTAAGAACATCTGGAGAGGGATAAAGGCTGCAATGGTCGCCATGCAGGAAAACTGCAAGGGCAAGAGGCGCTGGTGATCAGTAGCAATGGGAATGCTTAAAAGCAGAAATGAAGTATTGAAGATAAATTGCGCTTCTTTTCTGCTTTAAATGAGGCCCAGCACTATCTATATTTAGCCAAGGACCTACATAAAGTATTTTTGGAGTTGGAATAATACATTTGAAAAGATTGCTCTCGTTTTGCAGACAAGGAAACAGGCATTCCAAGGTCTTCACTGAATTCACATCACACACACTAGCAGAATCAATTAAATCTAAAGGGTTCCTACCACTAAATGATTCTTAATCTTAACTCCAGCTAATACATACCACCAATTTGTCTATATGGGAGAATTTTAGCACAAGTAATTCTAGGACTATAAACTTTTAACTGTACATTTTATTTATTTTTTTATGATTTATGTTTATAAATTTTTTTTCTAGAGTATGCAGATTTTACGACTTCACCTTACATGTATCAGGTTTTGGTTTGTTATTTTTTATTTATTTGTTTCATTTATTTCAGCTTCCGTGGCATCTTAGTTATTTTGTTTTGTTTTGTTACTCATAGTTTCACTGCCTGTCCATCATGTATTTTTCTAAACATGTATATCACAGGTCTCTTGTCTTGTTTTGTCTTGATTGGCATACTGCTGAGCACATAGTAGGCATTCAATTAACATATGTTGATTGCTTGATTTGATGTCTTAAACATTTAAGGGTGGCTTTTCTAATATCATTAATTCTGCATTTTGTCTCATTAATGTTGCCCATTTAACATTTTTATGAATCCTAATCATTCTTCTCTTTCTTTGAATACCAGGTGGTCGTGAATGCGCTCATCGGTGCAATTCCTTCCATCATGAATGTGCTACTTGTGTGTCTTATATTCTGGCTAATATTTAGCATCATGGGAGTAAATTTGTTTGCGGGCAAATTCTATGAGTGTGTTAACACCACAGATGGGATACGGTTTCCTACAAGCAAAGTTCAAAATAAAACCGAGTGTCTTGCACTGATAAATCTTAGTCAAGATGTGCGATGGAAGAACCTGAAAGTGAACTTCGATAATGTTGGACTTGGTTACCTGTCTTTGCTTCAAGTTGTAAGTGACCCCTTTCATGAATTCTTGATATTGTAGTGGACACTGACAGAAGTCATTATTTTAAATAACCTGCTAACTAGAAGTTAAAGTACTTTGTGACTTTAAAAAGAGACTTGGTGTCAACTAGAACAATTGCCTATAAAAATGACTTGTCGTCATTTGACCCCTCGCCATTGCACCTTCTGAATATTGCTCCAAAGTGGATAGTCATTTTTTTGGACTGCTAGTTTTGCACTACCTGGGAATGAGAGGGACTTCTCATTAACACAAAGCACCCTTAAGAAATGAAGATAAATTGTTTCCTGTATTTTATTTTTATAAAACTATCCTCTACCTCTGGAAAAATAAAAATCATATGCAAACATTTCAGGAATTGTAATAGCCTGGAAATAACTGACTAGGAGTAAGACTTAGAATATGACCCCACAATGTGTCCCTTTTTTCCTTGACATAGCACCTTTATATTAAATTGGTATTTTGAAATACAGCAAAATGTAGTGATTTGATATGACTTAATGCATATAATATTAAAGGACTAAACTCATGTGTTGCTGCTTAAAAGTATGATTCTATAAATGTTATATTTGCAGGCAACATTTAAGGGATGGATGGATATTATGTATGCAGCTGTTGATTCTGTTAATGTAAGTATTGGTCAACATTAAACTAAAATCTACAAGTTTACAGAGCTCCTTAGTTTCTTTTAGCCATTTTCAAACAGTGGCAACAAGGAGCCAGTCCTTGGTATGTACACACAGACTGACAAACTTCCACCCAATAGTAGCCTAGCGATGAGGTATGCAGCATTTGGAGACAGACCTTGACTCAAATTCTGGCTCTACCATATCATGCAAGCTGTGCAACTGAATCTGAACAAATCGGTTCTTTGAGTGTGTTTATTGATTATTATTCAAATTGAAAAATAATTCAGTGCCTACCTGGGGATCCAACAAGAAAATGCAAGTAGAGCACTTAGCACAGCCTGAAAATAGTAAGTGTACAGTAAATAAAGTTTATCAGAATAAAAATGAAATAATATATTTTATTAATAGTTTTTATTTTTATATTTAAAATTTTTAAATTCATTTCAGAGAGAGGAAAGGAGAAGGGGAAGAAGATAGGAACATCAATGATGACAGAGAATCACTGGTCAGCTGTCTCCTGCATGTCCCCTGCTGGGGATCAAGCTGCAACCCAGGCATACGCCCTGACTGGGATCAAATGATGCCAACCATTGAGCACACCAGCTGGGCCAATTTTATATTTTAAAGTGCCATGGAAGCATTTATATTAAATAACTTCCACACTAAGAAAGCTAAATCCAGTGAAGACATTTCTGTAATGAAATGAAAACAAAAATAAAACAAAATTTATATAAATATGGTGTCATTTCTTCTACATTTTTTTTCTAGGAAATAAAAAACATACTTTAGGTCAATGGTGGGCATACTCATTAATCAACAGAGCCAAATATAAACAGTACAATGATTGAAATTTCTTTTGAAAAATTTTTTAAACTTAAACTTCTTCTAATGCTACTTCTTTAAAATAGTCTCGCCCAGGCCTTGGTATTTTGTGGAAGAGGCACACTCAAGGGACCAAAGAGCTACATATGGCTCACGAGCTGCAGTTTGCCGGCCACAGTTTTAGGTCTTTTTGTTACTAAATTGTACTACCAATGTGAGAAGAAGTACTTTATATGGTTAAACCCTTTGTAGTCATTTCAATGTTATATTCATGTACTTAGTAAACATGTTGTAAGTACTTAATGTTGGAAAAAATTTTAAGAATGATTTTGTTGAACATCACTAATATTATGGCTCCTGAAAAAGCTAACTCACTAGAATAGCATTGTTTGGATTACCTTAGGAAACCATGTGAAAAGGGAAAGTGATGAATGTATTGTCAACATATTAACTTTTGTTAATTACTTTTAATTTTGTAGGTTGACAAGCAACCCATATATGAATACAACCTCTACATGTATATTTATTTTGTCGTCTTTATCATCTTTGGGTCATTCTTCACTTTGAACTTGTTCATTGGTGTCATCATAGATAATTTCAACCAACAGAAAAAGAAGATAAGTATTTTAAGTTTCTTTCATTGCACTGAAAAAAAGAAACAATTATTTTCCAAAAAAATATAATATGAAATTTAATTTTATATCAATTAATAATTTCTTCATTAGAACTTCATTTATTTTTAAAAAATATATTTATCTCATTTATCTCTACACAGAAAATAATCTTCTAAGTCAGAATTATTTTTAAACAATATGGCAACTATCCTGTTTTTTCAATGTTCCCTGTAGAGGATTGAATAATTAAGAAAAATTAATGCACTAATTATTTATTAAAAACACTTTTCACAAATGTTACTTCATTCCATTCTGAGTGGTATGTCTTAGGCTGGTGCTTAAGGAAAAACAACATAAGATATGGCTCCTAAGCTTAAGTTTATATTATAACAGAAGATATGATACATGTATTAGAAATTAAGATGTGTTAAATATTGCTAATGAGGCATCCCTGGAGATTTCTGTTTTAACTATTGGAACACTTTATAATCTCCTCTTAGTTTTCTCCTTCCTTCATTATGTTGCCAACTAGGGTATGCATCATCAAAAAAATATAAAATCTGTACTTTGACTTTTTCTTCTAAGTCAGAATTCTCTTCCCAGTGTTTTTCTAGCTTTTCTTGGTAAATTTTTGATATGCTATGATATTCAGCCCTCATCAGTATGCAATAAAGGATCTAGGCTTCTCCTGACATTGGTATGAAGGCTCTCTCTCATGCCTACTGTCAATAGATCAGATGAATATTAAAATTACATAAAGACTGCATATCAACTAGCATGATGGTAGAAAAAGAGGGACAAAGCCCATACATGACTAATTAGGTGAATTAGAGCACTCTAAGACAGAAAGGACAGTCTAGTTATTATACAGGCATTTGATAAATCTTTTACGATATAATATAATAGAAAACTGAATATCCCTAACCCCAAAAAAACTAAAGAGATACCAAAACTAGATTATCTTTAACTCCAGGATCCTACAAGTTAAGGATTTCAGAACTAAATAATTATTACATGTAATACATATACTTTATATATACACATTATATTAAGTATGGAGAGTCATGTGCCTACACATAGGTAATCCTAATAATCTGAGGAAAAATCTAGACAACGATTCTGGTTTTAACTAGATTTCTTTATTTTTTTTTTACCTTGGAGGTCAAGACATCTTTATGACAGAAGAACAGAAGAAATATTATAATGCAATGAAAAAGCTGGGATCTAAGAAACCACAAAAGCCAATACCTCGGCCAGGGGTAAAAAAAAAAAATATATATATATATATATATATATATATATATATATATATATATATATATATATATTCGAATTATTTTATTCAACTTTAATACACAACATTTTCTTAAGCATAAATGATTAGAATTAATTTTGAAAAAAATTGGAACAAAATTGCTGTTTTGAACAAAAGTCTTTATAAAACTTAATATATGTATTTTAAGCACTGTATCTTTTTTTTGAGTGCTTAACAAATATATTTTTATTATGTTAGCCAGCTCCACATCTCCCAGTCTGTATTTTAGTCTCTAAATAGCAGTAATGATTCTGTAGCTCTTACTATGAGCTAGACACTGTTCTAAGAACTCTACATATTTTAACTCATTTAATTCCTATAAGAACTCTTATGAGGTAGGAATTATTATTATTATCCAATTTTATGGACTCTGAAACGGGCACAGAGGATGCCAAACAATTAGGGAGAGCTGGAGTTTGAGAACTAAACCTAGGTATTTGAATTCTAGAGGCTGAGCTGAGATGTGAGAGGGTTAAACACTGTATCTTAATATTCCTTCTTATTTTTTAATTTTTCTATAAAAATGAAAAATAATTACATATGCATTTACTTTTAACATAGCTACACAACATATTCCTGCAGTGGCCTGTAGAATATGAAGATGAATGTACTTTAGGTTGAATAAAACATACTAGGGTAGATATACTTAACAGCCAATTCTATCTAATAAAAGAGTAATATGCAAATTGATCATCATTCTAAGACACAAGATGGCCATCCCCATGTGGTCAAAGATGGCTGCCCCCATACGTACATAATATGGCTTGCAGGGGAGGGTAGTTGTGGGAAGTTAGGGGTGACCAGGCCAGAAGAGCAGGGCAGTTGGGGAGGACAAGGCCAGCAGGGGAGAGCAGATGGGGGAAGGGGGCAAGGCCTGCAGGGGATAGCAGTTTGGGGGAACAGGCCTGTAGGGGAGGACAGTTGGAGGGGGGACCAGGCCTGCAGGGAAGGGCAGTAGGGAGCCAGCAATCCTGGATTGTGAGAGGGATGTCCAACCACCCTCAAAAGGTGCCAGATTGGAGAGGGTGTGGCCTGGGCTGAGGGACACCCCCCTCCGCCAGTGCATGAATTTATGCACTGGGCCTCTAGTGTAAGAATACAAGGCTAACTGAATATCAGTCTGGTATATTGAAAAACAACAACAGAATGTTTCATTCATTCTGACTTTGATTTAACTCATTAATAATATTTCTTGTAGAAAGCACAAAACTATGACCAGGGATAATTTATGCATGTTTTGAAGACTGATATCTTTTTTTTAATGTTTTGCTAATGTAATGATTAGTGGATACTACTTGCTAAGTTTACTCTATATTCCACATTATTCTTGTTTATTTGCAGAACAAATTTCAAGGATGTATATTTGACCTAGTAACAAACCAAGTTTTTGATATCAGCATTATGGTTCTTATCTGCCTCAACATGGTAACCATGATGGTAGAAAAAGAGGGACAAAGCCCATACATGACTAATGTCCTCTACTGGATAAATGTGGTCTTCATTATCCTCTTCACTGGAGAATGTGTGCTGAAACTTATCTCCCTCAGACACTACTACTTCACAGTAGGATGGAACATTTTTGATTTTGTGATTGTGATTATCTCCATTGTAGGTAAGTACATCTATTAACCAGATTTTTATATTGAATGGAACTAAGCTCACAGATACTCAGAGAAGGTCCTGAATTCTTGAATATAAATTTACCTTTGCGTAAGTTAAATGAAAGAATGAAGAAACCTTAAAAAAAAAATTTACAAAGCAAATGCCTTCATGTCAGAATTTGAGTTCTCACTAAAGGCCTCAAAGCCCCAAGTTTTCTATTTGTTGAGAGCAAATAATACCACTTGATCTAATATTTGATTTCCAAGGTTACCCTTCATAATCTTAGCAATTGCTTCTATATGTAGGTATATCAGAGAAGACCAACGCAGAGTCTGAAATTATTTCCAGTTTTAGCACATATGTGAACTGCCCTTTGAAGAATGATAATGTTAATAGCCAGGTTATTGGTGACTCTTCATGAAAATTCTTCCTGAGGCCAAAGTAAAGGTCTCAAGAAATGTCATCTTCATTTCTTATGGTTTTAATACTTGGCAAGTCTACAAAATGATCATTTCTCTACCAACCCCAGTCATGTTTATGAATGTCAGTACATGATTTTTTACTTCCTTCCCTTTTCATTATCATCACTATTTTTATATTCTTCTGCTCATTCATTACCTGTACATGTCCTGCCCAGTATTTTAGGATTGCAAGTATTTTTTAATTATAAATTTTAGGAAGAGATTGAGGATATCATAAATTGGAAACAACATAACATTCTTCACTGTGTGGTTATTTTGACAGAGCATTTTATAATAGTTATAACAAATTACTTAAGAGAAGCATTGAACAAACTATCAAACCTCAGAGGAAAGGCAGGGGATGGGGTGGTAAGAGATCAACCAAAGAACTTTTATGCATAACTACTGGACATGGACACTGGGAGGTGGGAGCATGTCCTAGGGGGTGGGAGTGGTGGGGGTGGGAGTGGCCAGGAAGGGGTTGATGGGGGAAAATGAAGACATATGCAATAATTTAACTAATATTGAAAAAAAGAAATTATTTGTCATTTCTATGGAAATATTTTCATGATGTTAAGGGACTAAAATAGATTACCAAAAATGAATGCTTATGTGTAACATGATTACATTCATGTGTGTATATATGTGTGTGTGCTTGCATAGAAAACTGAGGAGTGATACTCAACAAAATATTGACAATAGTTATGGTTGGTGATGTTTCAGGTGATTTACATTTCCTTTTTTGCATTTACTGTATTGCATGAATTTTCTACATGAGTAGGCATTATACTTATAATTAGGAAAATTACTGTGGAGGGAAAAATTTAAATGCCCATCAACTTAGTGAAGGAGGGAAAATGTTGCAGTAGTAAGAGTAAGCATTTTCTTATGGTATTGCTTAATACTCTAATTGCTATAAAAAATTTTTAATAAAATGACAGTCCTGAAATTGTAAGAGAGAGGCTGGCAGATAAAACTATTTAGAGTCTAGACTTTCTATAGCATGGAAATTTAAATATATATTCTTTTATTCTTTCCCTCCTTGCCAGGCATGTTTCTGGCTGAGCTGATAGAAAAATATTTTGTGTCCCCTACCCTGTTCCGAGTGATCCGTCTCGCCAGGATTGGCCGCATCCTGCGTCTGATCAAAGGGGCCAAAGGGATCCGCACGCTGCTCTTTGCTCTGATGATGTCCCTCCCTGCGCTGTTTAACATTGGCCTCCTGCTCTTCCTGGTCATGTTCATCTATGCCATCTTTGGGATGTCCAGTTTTGCTTATGTTAAAAAGGAAGCTGGAATTAATGACATGTTCAACTTCGAAACCTTTGGCAACAGCATGATCTGCCTGTTCCAGATCACCACCTCTGCTGGCTGGGACGGGCTGCTGGCACCTATTCTCAACAGTGGGCCCCCAGACTGTGACCCTAAAAAGGTTCATCCAGGAAGTTCAGTTGAAGGAGACTGTGGCAGCCCATCTGTCGGGATATTCTATTTTGTCAGCTACATCATCATATCCTTTCTGGTGGTGGTGAACATGTACATCGCTGTCATCCTGGAGAACTTCAGTGTCGCCACTGAGGAAAGTACTGAACCTCTTAGTGAGGATGACTTTGAGATGTTCTACAAGGTTTGGGAGAAGTTTGATCCTGATGCCACCCAGTTTATAGAATATAGAAAACTCTCTGACTTTGCAGCTGCCTTAGACCCTCCTCTTCTCATAGCAAAACCAAACAAAGTCCAGCTCATCGCCATGGACCTGCCCATGGTCAATGGCGACCGGATTCATTGTCTTGACATCTTATTTGCTTTTACAAAGCGTGTTTTGGGTGAAGGTGGAGAGATGGACTCTCTCCGTTCACAGATGGAAGAAAGGTTCATGTCAGCAAATCCTTCCAAAGTGTCGTATGAACCCATCACCACTACACTAAAACGAAAACAAGAGGATGTGTCTGCTACTCTTATTCAGCGTGCTTACAGACGTCACCGCTTAATGCAAAACGTCAAAAATATATCAAGTATATACATAAAGGATGGAGACAGAGATGATTTGCCCCGTAAAGAAGATACGGGTTTTGATAAAGTTAATGAGAACTTGAGTCCAGAAAAACCAGATGTAACCCCATCTACCGTCTCTCCACCTTCATATGATAGTGTAACAAAACCAGACAAAGAGAAATATGAAAAAGACAAAACAGAAAAGGAAGACAAAGGAAAAGATGGCAAGGAAAGCAAAAAATAGAGCTTCAAATTTAGTACACTGTTTACAGCCTGTGAAGGTGATTTATTTGTGTCAATAAGACTCTTCTAAGGAGGTCTATGCCAAAACTTTTTACCAAAATATTCTCAAAGTCAGTGCAGTCACTAGCTCTGATTCCTTAAGATAGGTGGGCAGCATTACCAAATGGCTATTTTTGCACTGGTAAATGATTCCGTAAGAATTGTAGAGTAACTCTATAGGGATTATTGATTACAGCAAGCAAAGTTAATTTAATTTTATTTGCTTTTAAAGATTCCCAAGACCATGTAGGAAATCCTCACAACTGCCTTGTCATCTTTTTACAGGATTGTAAACATCCCATGCAAACACACACACACACACACACACACACACACACACACACACACACATCTATATTGGACATCTACAAAAGTATTTTGTCTTGGCTCTGCCCTGAAATACCCTGCTAGAAGGAATGGACATCAGTAATGAATGTTTAGTTAAAACGTGTTAGTGTTAGGGAACAAAACACTTTTATCCATGTACAGAGGTCATTCTATATTTTGAGGTGCTTAAATTTATTCTATATTGCATCAGAACCAATTTATATGTTCCTTATAAAATGCTATGGAATGAAAAACATGTGTAGACTATTCATTTCAACAAATACTTTTCATTTATCTTGACTCGTGTAACAATCAGAATTAAGATTTACCTTTAGAGTATTGTGCTTTATAGCCTGTATTTTTTATATTCTTCTTAGTTTATACAACCAAAGAACATGAAAAATTATTCCAAGTACTACATATCACTTCCCTCAAAAGAAAAAAAATGAAGATAATTTTAAAAAGAAGTAACTGAAGAAAGCTTTATTTACTATTATTTATATAATCTCACACTATACTGTGCTGCCCCAAAATGCCAATGATGACACAACTTTTTATCTTTTTTGTCACATTTCTTTCTGCTGTCTCAGGCAGTATTGTTTAGTCATTCTTTAGCACTAAGCAAAATTGTTATTTCCCTTCACTGAAGTGCTTCCTGATATGCAGGTTGCTATTTAATACCATTGCACATGACTGGAACAAAGCATTTACTCGGTCATCTCTATACCATCCTAAATATATGTGACAAACTTTGAAATTATAATATCAGACAAACTTTCAACTCAAAATAGACTTTAGAATGAACGATAAAAGCATTCGACTGGGATTCTTGCCAACTTGCTTTCTTGTCACTTAATTTACTCTCCTAATTTGTACAAGCAGTCCTTTTAGATGGCTAATCTTTCATCTGAAAATGAGGAGGATGTCACTTTGTACTTAAAATTCCATGACTATGAGGTATATTGTACATCAATCAATAAAGTACCCCGAGCTTATAACTCACTGAGCATATGATTCATTTTACTTTTGCTGGTGTCCTCTTACCAAGGGTTATAAATCTAGCTTTTAAGAAATTCTGGTTAATAGTGGCTTAAAAAGAATGGCCATGATGCAGTTTTTCATCTCATTTCAGGAATATGAGGTCTTTCTCCTAACGAGTTATACATTTGTAGGCAAAATTGAGTGATGTAAGGAGAAAGCAGTTCTATTTAGATTTTGTGGGAATTTCAAAGCAAACATCTAGAAGACATTTGATTCATTTGCTATTTTAAGTTAAAAGGGAACATGAATTATAATTCTTTAACCAGTACTTGAACATATTTTTTTGTTGTTATGGCTAGTTAAAATAAAGAATATTCTAACATACTTTTAGAGATGAAGAGGTATGGGTGGAGAATGAGACAGAAAGGAGAGACTAAGAATCATAGCCAATCATAGATATGGGAAAGTCAGATAGAAACAGACATTTCCACAGAACATCCTAGCAAGAAAAATTTTTAATTCTGATGTATTTTATAATACCCATGACAGAGATTGTCACCTATAGACATTTGTCATAAGGTAAATATGAAATTAAATTTAGAGCCAAAAATTCTTTACATCTATGTTTAATCATTCATCTTTGATTATTTGAGCCATTTTTTAATTTAATATGAAAGATACCATCCAGTGTTTACCTAGACTCTGTAGAGCATTACATCACATAACTGCTAAGCCTATTCAAAATACATTTTGACATTTTAATTAGGGAATCATACAAAACATATTATATTTGTAAGATTTTTAAAACATTAAATTAATAAGTTAATATCACCTTAAATTTGAAGTAAGTCTACCCTTATTATTTTAAACATGCATAAATACAACTGCATTTTGCATATTTATGTGGGGTTTACTCAATGTTTTTACATGTCTTGATTTTTATGTAAAAGAAAAAATACTGGCAATTGATTTATCAACACAGTTTCTTCAGAGCATTTCAAAAAATGATAAAGTTGCTTTTTCTCTTTCATGCTGAACTATAATTAAATATATATATATATATATATATATATATATATATATATATATATATATATATATATAATACTTGGTTTTTGTACATATATATGTTTTCCCAGGAAAGTCTAGTTTTGACTTTTTGTCAATTAAGAACAATATTGAAAGTAAGAGATCATTCAAGTACAGTGTAAATTTGAAGAAAAAGTACACTATTCATATAGATTACTGTTTTGTTCTGGTTATGAAATATCACCCCCCAAGGCATTGTCATACTGATGTTTAAATTATATAATCACTGAACTCATTTCACCTAGTGATGTGGAATGGCAGTTACAATGCAAAATTTAAGTGAGAATAAAATGGAAACATATTTGAACACATATCTAAACATATAAATTTAGATAAAAGTGGGAGAATTTCATTTTACCTTTTTGATTATTACATCATTTACAAAAGATGTAAGTGACTTGGGGGATGATTCTTAAATGCTGATTGTTAAATCTCAACCCAAAATGTCCATCATGATTTTATAGAGTTTTTAATATCTTTATTACAAAGAGTTAAGATAAAATGCTTATGTAAATAAATCAGTTCTAAATAGAAATTTTGGAGAAATGCTAATGAAAGTACATAATGAAATGTGGGCCAGTTAAGTTAGGATGACCAAGTAATTGGCCTGGATTTAGGACCTATGTATAGAGGCCACTAATTTATTTAAATAGCTCTGGTTTATTATGTTATGTTCTTGAAGAAAACAAGAATTGCTTCACAAAAATAAATGAATAGCCATGAATATAATATGCTGTTTACATAGAAGTCTTTACAAATTTTATACATCTATGAATGCTCATATTTGAGTTTGAGTTTGTCATCAATTGAATTGTAGTTATATTTGAGACACACTGTAACAGAATCTATAAATAAAAGACATCAGAAAAAATAAAATGTTTCCATGCAGTTTCTGCTTCCGTGAGAACAACCTTTAAGAAGATAAGTTCAGCGCATCTCTAAGTAAGTTGCAGTGATTGATTTAAAAAAAAACAAAAACTGAAAGAGGAACAGTTTCAAATGTCCTCCATTAAGAAGTCTACCAGGATAAGAGAGATGGGGATAAAGAATATAGAGCTCTACCCTAGCCATTTGGCTCAGTGGATAGAGCTTCAACCTGTGGACTGAAAGGTTTGATTCCAGTCAAGGGCATGTACCTTGGTTGCAGGCTGGGTCCTGGCCCGTGTCAGGGTGTGTGTAGGTGGCAACCAATCGATATGTCTCTCTCACATTGATCTTTCTGTCTCCCCTTCCCTTTCACTCTCTCAAATAATCAATGGAAAATCCAGTGAGGAGGATTAATCCAGTGAGGATTAATTATATATACATATATATAATTATTATAATATAATACAATTATATATATAATTTTATATATATATATATATATATATATATATATATATATATAGAGAGAGAGAGAGAGAGAGAGAGAGAGAGAGAGAGAGAGAGAGAGATCCAAAGCAATTCACTAAAATCCACAACAGACTTTGTGCCAAAGGGGAAAAAATTGAGACAGGAAGTGAAATATATACAAACATTTAGCCACACAATGAGAGTATGCATTTTGTGTGTGTGTGTGTGTGTGTAGTGGCAGAGTGCTAGTATGGCATACATAATGGCTAAAGGCTTAGGTTCCAGAACTTATTTGGATTCCAATTAAGCAATGCCTCTCTGTGTTTTCTGAATACATTATTTAACCAATAATGTCTCAGTTTTCTCCTCTATAAAATTAGGGTAATAATTCTATGTCATAATATAGAGGGAGAAAATCCCCAAGAAGCCATTAGAACAATATCTGACAGCACAGAGTCAAGAGTTTATATTAGTAGTGGCACTTGGTGGGGCAATCAGTTTGCCACTAAAAATATAAGAGCCCAGGCTGCCTCTCTATCGTGTAGGAGCACAATGCATTCTTCCTAAATGTTAAATAATAACAGCATTCCCTCTATTGTATGTGACTTTGTGTAAATATGGTGCCCCAAAGATTCTCATGCATTCCTTTGATATATAATGAACATTTAGTGATGTGACATATACACCAAACTATTTCAAAATTGAGCAATTTTGATATTTGTGAATTTAACATGTTAAAATTGAAAAACATGTATATTTGCAAAGGTTTATCTTATTCCATTAAAAATTGAAGGGCAGCCGAAACTGGTTTGGCTCAGTGGATAGTGTTGGTCTGTGGACTGAAGGGTCCCGGGTTTGATTCTGGTCATGGGCATGTACATTGGTTGAGGGCACATCCCCAGTAAGGAGTGTGCAGGAGGCAGCTGGTTTATGTCTCTCTCTCATCGATGTTTCTAGCTCTCTATCCCTCTCTCTTCCTCTCTGTAAAAAATCAATAAAATAATTTTTAAAAATTGAAGGGCAGTAATTTCCATATTTAACTAAAAATCAATCCAAATCTCTTTTATTTGAGAAGATAAAAATGACAATATATAAATGGTTATAAATATCAGAGAGTAATATTATATTCTTCATACAATATGAATCATGCGTATGTTATAAGTATTAGATTATGTTTCATTATATGTTCTATTACCTAGTTATATACTATTGTATTTTATGATAGAAAGATAATATTAGGATGCTTAGCTCTTAAAAGCTTCATGATTTTGGTCATAACTTAGGACAAGTTTGTGCATATCATTTTACTGCACATTTTTATGATTCTGGAAGTACTCTAGTCATTCAATTTAATAACTTATTGGTTTTGCAAAAAATATATGTACAGAAGCTATCTTTTTATTCTTATTTATTGTGCCTATAAATGGGTGATTTTTTACAAAAGACAGATTCAAAATAGTCATTTTACTTTGGCAGTTCAGGCCAAAGATTTAAAGAGAAAATATTAAACTTTGTAATTAAAATAAAAATGTGTGCACTGACTGGATGGCTCAGTTGGTTGAAGTGTTGTACCATATACCAAAAGGTTGCGGGTTTGATTCTTGATCAGGGCACATACCTAGTTTGAGGATTTAATCCTTGGTCAGGGTACATACGGGAGGCAACCAAATGACATTTCTCACACCTTTGTTTCTGGCTCTCTGGCTCTCTTTTCTCTTCCTTTCTTTCTCTCCAAAATCAGTTTTAAAATTTGGTGAGGATTAAAAAATAAATAAGTAAAAACTTGTTATTTCGTTTGAATCTAGGACATTATCATTATCCTTAATGTTCTCTGTATGGAAATTAAGAAGTAATTTCAATACAATTTTATGGGTGCGAAATAGATACTAAAGCTCTACAGAAAGTATTTTTTTTTTCTTTTAAAATATGCAGCTCACAACTACCAAACTTTTATATGTCAAAATTGAATTTGACTCCCTTTAGGAGACTAACAAAGATAGGATTCTCTTGTAATCTCCCTAAACAACTCAGCACATCTTGTTATGTTGGTGCTCCCAATAGAATCAGCTCTGATAAGAGAGGATGGAGAGAAAACAAGCGGGAAAAGAATTACTTCTTGCTTCATTTTCCTGCCTAATTTATTTTCCTTTACATATTCACCTTACTCTAATCATCTCATTTTTTTTACCCTGAATTCAGAACAAAGACTGCTAACTGGCTTAGGGTCATCTAATGCTGTCCTGACTCTTAAAACCAAAAGAAATGTTTGCCTCTAAGGAAGTACACATCGTTCATTTATTTTAGAAACAAATGGGTCTGCCTCCTACAAGCCACAGCCAGAATAGCACTTAGAGCCAGGTTATGTGCAGAAGGGATCTGGAAGGGAGCCAAGAAGAACAAAGGAAGCTATCTACTTCAGCTTTGTGACTCTGAGCAGAAACCTGAAGCACAGACCTGAAGAATGACCGCAAGCCAGAAGTACGTGTTTGCCAGCAAGCATATTTTAATACTTTCCTTTGAAATAAAGTTTAACATTCATGAAGTCTCATGCCTAGAGCTCAAAGGGCATGATTAGCTTAGTCTAAAGAAGCCC